TTTTTTTTTTTTTTTTTTTTTTTTTTTTTTTTTGCTTATACTGCTACTGCTGCTGCTGCTGCTGTTGAATAAATCAGCTGTAAAAGCTGTAAAAGAATTGATTTCCTTCTTTCTTTTTGAACTGAATAACGTTTTAAATAGTTTAGTATGAACTAATTTTCTGGGGTGAAAAAAAAAGCTTTTTCTATGACTATTCTTAATTTGAAAACATTAAAATAGAGTTTTTTGTTTCTGTCACAAGTCGGCTGATTTTCAGCAACACTCATTTGTAAAATCTGCAATATAGGTTGATTGCTGTATTCTATGCTTACTTCAAATATTTATGTGCTTTTTTTTCTTGTAATTATAAAACCTTTGTTATAATGCCGTTCAAAATGTTATCAATAAGCAACAGACGCTGTTTCAGTGTCTCCAAAATAATCAGCCAAATTAAACATTAAGTACCTATCTTGAATCTGCCAGTGTTAATTGACAAAACATTTTTTTTGCCTCTTTTTTAAAGCTTTATTTATCTGATCGCTTTGGTAAGGTATAAATTCATATTGAATTTTTCAACGGTTATTACTTTATTCTATACGATTGTCAATCAGATGTTATTTGTCTTTTAACTATCAAAATTTCGGCATGCTTCTATTTATCGTTCAATGCTGCATTTAACTCGGCATTTATTTGATTGAAAAGTGGTGTCCAGCTTAGTTGGACTTGGTATTGTTCGAAAAAAGATCTATATTTTTTGACAAACTGATAAGGCTAAGCTGAAAAACAGAAAAACAGGTATCAATGATTCAGCAGTGAATGTAACTATCAGTGCTTAGCTAAAGCAAGCTTTTTTTCTGGATTGATTATGCTTTTTTTACAGCTACTGCTAAACTGTAGCTGTAAACTGATGTGCACATCGATTCATGCCAAAAATTCGCTACCTTCCTTGCTTCAAAATTTATCCCGGAATAGTCTGTTTCATGAAAGTCTTCTTGTTTTTTGCTGGACAGACAACTGACATTTCCAGTTATAGTTGCCATTTATTCGGTTCAAACTTTTTTGCCTGTTTTCTTTCAGCTGCATTGGCTAACTGCCTTTTTTTTGCAACAGTTATAACTTTTTGAAAAAAAAAAGAGAAGTGAAGATAGAAGAAGCAAAAGAAATTTTTAATTACATTTGAACACTTATCTTTTAAAAACTAAATGCTTTTAAAAAAAGTTGGTGAACACAAAGATTCTTCTCTTTTGATTGTAAAAATCAGTATTTGAAAATTTTTTTGAAGAAATAATTTTCAGAATTTATTCACAGACTTTTTTTTTCTAGTCAATATTTTCTTAACATTACTTAACAGTTCTGTTAGGCGAATTTAAAGACATTCAAATTTTTTGAAAATTTCAGTTACAAAGTAAAAAATTTTTTTGAAGGAATATTTCTTAATGCAATTTTTGCTGGTCACATAGTGAACTGCTTCTGCGGCAAGTGAAAATGCTTCGTGTAGTAGTCGACGAGGAAGTTTCCAGGATTACATCTGAAATGATCCACAAAACTGCTAGAAAGTTTCAGACGCTAAGAATTTGTTTTGCAGAAGCCGAGTGTAATTTAGATGCCAATAGGTGTTTTCATTGCTATTGCTGTTGGTGCTGCTGCTGCTGCTGCTGTTGTTTCGTATACAGATGTTGAATTTTTGTTTGGTTCAACTCGACAAACAATATAACACATATATACAGCCGATATACGTTGTCTACGCCTATCGCCTGTTGACCGCTTTGGTCATCCGCTGTTACGTTATTTTGCTCCTTCGTATCCATCCGTATGCCTTGTGTGCCTTAGATTTTATTCTCTATTCAGAATGTTTATAGGCGCTATGGCATTATTATAATCTTTTTCTTGTAATTCTTTTTTTTTCTCATTTTTAAACATCAATTCTTCTTCCTAAATCCTCTCATCTTAAAGCGTTTTTTCCTCCTCTTCTTCTTCGTCTTCTTCTTCACAATGAAGATGAATCACGCATTTTAGTGTTCAGTTTAAGTTGTTAAATCACAGCATTTTTTATCCTTGTTTTTCAACAACTTCTGTTCGTAGCTTTAAATGCAGAACCAAAAAAAATTGCACCTATATTCTGCTCTTTTACTGAAGTCTTTTGATGTTGACTGTTTACCATAAATTGCATATCAGTGCATTCTCATTACTATGAGTACTAAAACTTACCTGAAAAATAATTCTTTAGATTTCTTTTGTCTTTGCACTTTAGGTATAATTTTCTGGTTAAAAAAATCAGTATTTAAGGAGTATGATTACAGGGCAGTGGTTTTAATGGATGTGCTTTTTTTTTTTCAGGAATATCTTTAGAATTAGCTGTAATTTTCTTTTGACATTTGTACTGTCTGTTTTGATTGTGAGAAGTAATTTGGTGAAAATACAACTAAACTGTTTCCAAAACAAAATTTTCTTCAAACATTCAGGATTTTTCACTAGTACTTTTTAGACAAACTGTGTTTACCTGACTGAAAATTGTGGTTGATTATCGACAGAAAGAGCAAAAATTTGTTTAATATTTTAAATCTTCGTTTGGTTATAATAAAACGGTGCAACAGAACAAGAAGAAGAAGACGATGAAGATATGCGACAGCAATTATAGTCTGTCATCACCAACCTTCAGTTTCCTCTAGATTTCTTGTCTGAATACAAACTACTGATGCTTCTCAAAGCACTCAGTGTTGTTAACGGTAAAAAAACTGGTCATTACTGATACTTTGAAACAGATGCTGTCGATTTATTTGGACTACCTTTTAATAGTTACAGAATCTCTGCCTCAATTCACCAATGGATGTGATAGTAAGAAAAAAAGGAAGAAATACTGTCTATAAATTAGCTTTAATTTTTTTCATAGACGTCTTGATAGGGAAGATTTATGCTTAAAATTCTCAGAAATAGTTATCTGTAGTATTTAATTTAAAAAAGTAGAATCTTTGGTTTCTAAACTTTATAATCGGATACTCTTTATGAACCTAACAACTGCTGATAACATTTGTTGTTGTTGTTAAACTATGGAACTTTTTGCCTACTGTACCTAAAGTTTATTTATAATGAAAAGTTGTAATGCTTCATGCGGCTTATGTGTAACATAAATATTATGGTTTTTCGAAAAGAATTTTATATGAACGTGCATACTTTTGTCATCAGTTGAGCACTGATGCGCTATATGTTTAAAATTGCAATTCTTTTCTGCTGAAAGATAAATGAAGCAGTGAATTGAATCATGTTTTTGCTAATGCAAACATAATTTTTTGGAATAAAATTTTAGAAAAACTTTTTTCTTTCTTCCCTTTGTCGCGCTCCAAATCAGCTGTGATCAACAACCGGGAAGACTAAGCAACAGAAGTCAAGCAGAAATCAAAAACCTATTTGATGTTACGTCCAGATGTTTTAAATGTTTTTCTTCTCGCTGCTATCAGTTGGAAGCTTGCAAGGGCGCAAGATGTAGCATTTTTTCGAGGTTAAACTAAAAAATTTGTTCGTTTTACTCTGATCAAATAAAATTTACAATAAAAATTAGGAAGTTTTTAAAGCATTATTACAACAATATGCTTTCAATCTCCTAATACTTAAGTATCAAAAAGGAACTTCCTTAATTTAGTTAACTTTTTAACTTATTGTTTCAAGTCGACAAAAAAGTCAGTTTTTTCTTTTAAATGAACTTTAAAAGCGGGTTTTTCTTAAAGAGCAGTTTCGCTTTCTTATTCTCACGATCTTCAATTAGAATCTAAGAAATTAATAAGTACTTTTGCTTGACGAAAGGGTCAGGAATGGTTGGGTTTATTAGGTGTTGGCTAAAATTTTCCCACATCATATTACAATCGTGGTTGTTTAGATGTTGATCAACCACCAGCACAACCATTTTTTGGCGGTAATGACGTAGTCGGTAGAATAACCCTTAAAAACGGAAAAACTGTAAAGGAAAACATTGTACCGGTGTCGGATATTGTTCCGGATACTCTTGTAGATCCAAATGGAAATCTTGTTGCTGATGCTCGCATTAAAATTCTTAAGTAAGTCGTTTGTTAACATTAGATCATCTTGTGCTTAACATTCTTTTCCCACTTGTATTGCTTTCACACATTTAAAATCATACAATTTACTTCATCACCAGTGCAGTAAAAAAGTGTAAAAAGACGCTGCTAACAGCCATTAATTTAAGAGATGTTACAAGGTCTTTATGGCAATATTTGTTCAAAAATTTCTCAAACAAATTTCCGACAAAGATTAACAGTGACTATTATGTTTATTTGAAGTCGAACGAAACAACGAATCCGTGATGAAAATTTGTTGAGAGAGGAACTTAGATATGAATCTCGAAGTTCGATCAGTCTTTTAACATGCATTCTGACGCTGTTCGGATGTTCATGCATTGTTGCCTGCGGAGTACTACCAGCTTTGTTGATAAAACTAAATAATGACGTCTTCAATCATTCAGCTGGTAATTTTTCTCTTTTTATCTGTACATTTTATGATGGCATCATTTGGAAGTTAAATTAAATATAGAGCACTAAGTTGTTGTCAGAAGTTGGAGGTTAAAATTTGAGAAGGTTTCTGTAATAAATGTTATAAATCATTGTTCTTAAAACTTTTTTAATGCCGTCGTTGATCTTGAATAACTCGTAGTTTTTAGCGGGTCGAAAACAGTTGAATTGTCTGTTAAGTTTTGCTACCGGAAGTTTGTTAGGCGATGTTTTCCTTCATTTACTACCAGAAGTTTGGTCTCAGACTGAAGGTATCCTATTTTTAGTTTTTATATAGCAAAAAAAAAAGAAGTGAGCAAAAAAAACACCATACTTTACCAATAAAAAAATACTTTTTATTAAAAAAATTAGCTGTCTAATAGATTATTTTGAACTGCAGAACATACTATGAATGTGGGACTGTGGATATTAGCCGGTATACTTTCTTGCTTTGTAATTGAGAAATGTTGTTCAACAACGTCTGAAAGTCAGAAACGGGTAATCTTTTAAAACTTGAAGAAATTCAAGATTTTTTAAATTTTTTTCGAAAATTAAGTACTTAACACTGCTGTTGTCACCTTCAATGAAGATTTTTAGGTTTGTGCTATGATGAACATCTGCGCAAATTTGTTGGATAATTTTACGCACGGTTTGGCTGTCGGGGCGTCATTTTTAACTTGTTCAAAGGTGGAGCTTTGGATTTTTATAGAGAAGATTTTTGGGGGAAGTAGCGCTGTAGATTTTGAAAAGTGTTTTCTTCTAATATTCTACAGAACTGTTTGACTCTTTAATGAGTCTGCCATTTGGACAATATTTAACATGAATTTTAAGCAATAATTTCAAACGAAAATATCTTTACCTGGTTAACGATCAACTGATTTCTACATGCCTTCACTATAAAGCGTTTCAGCTTGGCTTTTTAACAACTTTTGCAATCGTTATTCATGAACTACCTCACGAAATAAGCGATTTCGCCATTTTGTTAAGAGGTCATTTTACAGTCTGGTCAGCTGTTCAGGCACAGGTTGGTAATGTTTTCTTATAATAAAAAATGCCTTTAAGTCGTACTGCAAAACTGTAGTTTCTTCCGCTTCTTGACAGTACTCGAAAACATGTTCTGAAATTTGTTGCCTTCAATTTATTTGCTTTTCTAGGGCAACTTTGCTTTGTAATGTCAGTCACATATAATGGAATAAAAATATAGTTGAGGGGAAGCGCGTGAGCGGGGCTAAAGTTTTTCTAAGAGGCCACAAATGACGATTTCAAAGAAACTACTTTTGGGTAGCTATTGGCTAGTTTTAAGCGATGATTCATCAAGTAGAGCATTTTGCCCTGGAAGGAAGCTTAACGCATGAAGTATTTGCGTGCTCAAATTAAACTCTAGGTTTTTGCTAGACAAACCGACTCCTATTTTGAGAAAAAAACTGAGTTTGAAGGGCACTTTTTCATTCTTCTTTCATAAGTAGCAAAGTTACCATTTAAAAAAAAAAGCAATGAATTTGTAGCAATGTGGCTGTATGTATGCTAATTTTATATGCCAACACTCAGCGGGCGTGAAAGAGGAGTTGAGGGCAAGTTTTGGAAAACTGCATAATTAAAAAGAGAATTTTTTTTGTCTGAATTCGACCTTATTATAAATTTCCTCGACTTGACTCGTAAACAGATGCGTAACGAAAGTAAGTAAGTTTTGTTTAAAGGCGTAGGGAAGCTTACTGTCAGAGAAAGAAGAAAGAAAGATAACTAAAATTTAAAATAAATGAAACTTTATTCACAAATTTACTCTTTTATCCCGTGTTGTATCTCGTATTTGGCTACCGTTGTGTTCGTTTGAAAGTTTGTTCCTTGTATTATTTATTACGATTTGGCTTTAACGGTTCATGTTCTTTTAGCTTACTAACAACGATTAAGAGTTGCTCGCTAAAATTGTATTTCGATTAGCCTTTTTGTTTTGAAAATTGCGTAAAAAAGATTGAATAGAGAAAAGAAAGACATTCTACAGAAGAATTAGGTAGAAATATTGTATTTTCTGTGTGTCGTACAAAAAAATTGGCGAGTTTGTAAGTGTGTTTAGTGTCTTCTCTAGGCCAGTTGTTCAAATGAGGTGTTTATAGCACTACAAGCATTGTCAGTTTTGCTAATTCTTTGGTAGTGAGAGTTATATGTTGTTTAAATAGTTTCAGAAAAAAGCAACAGTTTTTTTCCTTTGTTCTGCTATACTGGGATAAAAAAATTTATAATAAAAGCGAAAACTTTCAAGCCAAATATCGTGTGTGAAAAAAGGATGTATGCCTTTCTAGCCAATGACACAAGACTTCTGGTAACATTCTTTAATTACATGGGTTCGTTGTTTTGAAAGGATAAATAGGTTTTTTGCTTAGACATTTTTTCAATGTATAGTACTATAATATCAGTAATATTTAAGCGTGAGATACTAGGCAGGAAAGGGCAGAAGAAAAACTTAATTGGAGTAGTCTACCATGGTTTCACTCAGCTTCATTTCTGGAGCTTTACGAGAGAGAAGTCATTAGCTTTTACTGCTCTAGAAAGCCATTTTATCTCTTAGAAAAGAAATGGTTGTGGCGTGAACAAATAACTTTTTTTCTTTTGTGCGGGTCTTTTTTACGAGAACGTTCAGAAACACATAGTCTAGATACGCATATTTGCTGATATATGTAATATATATGAGCCTATAAACGTTCGGATATCTTTTCTATGTCATATGCAAACAAGTGGTTCACTTTAAGTCTCTGACGCGTTGTATTTTAACTGAGGAAGAACACGATCTGTTCAGAAAAGCAAATATACATCTGATATAAATTTAACTAGCGCGGGCTTTACTGGAAATGAGACGTAGAAAAAAGAAAAAATTTTTAGTTCTCAGTTTTTTTGCTTCGGCAGATTGTCACTGTCGGAAGTTTGAAAAAATTTGATGTCATTGGATACTTATTTTTTCTGTATACGATGTTGAATTGTGTCTATTATTTTTTAATTTTCAAGTTTATTTTGTGGCTTTTTTGACTTTGTTTTATATATGCCTTACTAAGTAGAATTGGTGGCTAAATAGGACTCTGAAAACTAAGAAAAGAGCTGTAAGAAGAGGAGAACTGATCTAATATCTTCTTAATTATGTGTTGCAATAGTGGGAATTGTTTTAGAAATAATGCTTTCTTCAAATATAAATATCTGAAGTTTGGTCTTTAGACCTACTTATATACTAGAGTCTAATTTAAATGTCCATCATGCATTATGGTTGAGGCGAAAGAGACTGCAATGCAGCCAGTTCCTTTCAATGGAACTTCAATTAGCGGAAAC